TATTTAATTAATTCTTAGTTTTATGTTTACATATTTATTTATTTTTATAAACATTAAAAATATTAATAAATTTGCAGAGAAATCTTTGTGATCAGTTAAATGCATGCTGTCAAAAAGGAAAATACGCATCAGAACAAGAACAAGGAATTGTTTAAAAAGTTATAGAGAAAGTAATATTATTATATATTTATTTATTTATTTTATTTTAAAAAATTTTTTATAAAATTTTATTATTATTTAGTTTAAAACAGACTTTCTAATCTTTTCTGTTTTTGTGGATGATTTTGTTTTGCAAAAGCTCTCAGAGGATATTTTAGAAAACTGGAGTAAAAATATCTATTTTTTATTTAACTTTTTTAATAAGTAATATTATATTATTATTAAATATTTTATAGTGGAAACTATTCATAAGGCTAAAATAAAGGAAGCATGTGAAAAGGAAATCTCTGCTCCTCCAAAATGCAAAAACATAACACCTCCAAAAAATTAAAAAATATCATTTTCAACAAGTTTTCGAACAGTACTATCTTCTAATAATACAACCAATAATAATAACCTTCAACAATCTTTATTAAATGAAAATTTATCTTCTACTGAATCATCTGATGAAAGTAGTTCACCATTAATCAATAATAGAGAATTTTGGTCTGCACCATCTATTAATGAAATCATAGATAATAATAATAATGATAATCAACAATTTTTTAATACAATCAAAGATAATAATGCTCAACAATATTCTGGTGAAAATATAATCGAAGTTGATAATAATAATGATACTCAACAATCTTCTGGTGAGACTATAATCAAAGATAATAATGATACTTAACATTTTCAGATGAGACTATAATCGAAGATAATAATGATACTCATCAATATTTGGGTAAAAAATATTTAATTTATTTATTGTTTTTTAAAAAATATATATAAAATTTTGAAATCTAATTTTTTTTTTAATAAAGGTTCTCAAGCAGTATCTGAAATTGAACTTAATAATCCTATTTCAAAATCTAAAAAAATAATCAGTATATATATTTATTCAAATAGATATAATTTATAATAATTATATAATATTATACACATGTATAATAAATTTAATTTTTTTATAGAAAAAAAAGAAAAAAAAGCCTAGCTCAATTAACTCGCTCAACTCGTTCAACGACAAAAAAAGATTCAACTAAAGAAGCTGTAGTGGTATCTAAAAAACAAACAAACAATAAATCAAAAAAAATAAAAAATTAAATATGTAAGTATATAATATTTTTTAATTATTAAATTAATTATTATTATATACTAATTTTATAATTAAAAACAGGATACATATAGTATACTTGGCATAATTAGCATATATATTTTAATTTATTTATTTATAAAATAGTTTGGTTGCTAATGACGTAATCATAATTTATTTAGAAAATATCCAGAGACAACAGCCCTTAAAAGTCTCTGGAATAGATATATGGAGCATCATATATCAGAGTTGCTAGTTAGACTAAACACACCAGGTCTTTTAGAAAAATTGACAACAAGAAGGCTTAAGCAAGATCAGCTAAGAGCAGGTTCAACGAAGTATATCTTAACAAATCAAACCATACTAAAAAAGAGAGAAAAAAAAGTTGTAATCTGGGGTTAAACATTCTGCATTAAGCACATACTTTAGCTTCATTATAAAAGAAATAAGGTTACAAGAAGCTAGAATTTAGATCTTATACAAACAGCAAATGATGAAGAGATTGCAAGTGTCCTCGAACAGTTAAATATGGTTTATTTGGAGACAAAAGAAAGTGGCCTGGGCTTAATAGTAGAATCACAACTTATTGCAAAATATAGTAAAACAATGCATACATGAGATCAATTTAGATTAGCACGTGGTATGACTTTAAAAGGGAAAAAACCAGGCTGGTTCGCTAAATTAGAGAAAAAGATTTTAGAAGACCCCAGATCAAGAAACATCAAAAACAGATACAAATGTGAAACAAACAATGGTAATGCTCCTAACTTTGAGATAAAAGAAGTAAGCAATGACAAAGGAATAAGAGAATAGGTTTGTTGGAGAGAGGATACAAACAAACCTATTTATATAGAGAAAATTAAAGAAAAAGAAAATGTATATATAGAAGTCGAAAAATATAGAAAACAATAGAGTGTCAGGAAAATGAAGTTTAGCAGTTCCTAAAAATTGACAAGACAAGTGAAAAGTATATAGTTAAATGTAGAAAACTTGGAGATATCTCAAACATAATTTAGAGAACAGAAAAAGGTGCAAGGTTAATCTTTAAAAAACAACATATAGAAAAAACGTTTAAAAAAAAGGAGGAAAAATATTTGGTTAAGGCAAAAGATTTAAAAAAAATAAAAGAGGAGGTTAATATAGAGATAGAGTGTGAATGTTGGGAAGTAGTTTTAATCAATAGAATAGTTAAAAGTGTCATAATTAGAAGTAGAATAATAGAGAGTTTAGAGCAAAATAGAGAGTTAGATAGTTTTTTTTTTTATACTGATAGCTTACTCGGACCTGCGGAGAATAAAGAAAAATTGGTAATGGGTTGTGGGCAATCCAAATTACAGAATCAGGATACATATTGTGCCAAATTTCATGTGCAACAAAGAAATAGTTTTTATCTACAAGAGCAGAGATAGTGGCAATTTTTCTCACTTTACTAACTATATCTTGTAGAAGAAGTGTGGAGATTAGAACAGATAGTATGGCAGCAATCTTAGCAATTGAAAAAGGCCTAAAATGAACAAGATAAGACCTTGGCTAAAGACTAAGAATAGTGGTTTGTTAACAACAATTGTAGAGCTAATCAAGACAAAGGAGTTAAATACGCGCTTTATCAAGATCAAGGATCACTCAGGTGATATTTTTAATGAGCTAGTAGACTTAAAAGTGAAAGAGGGTGCTAAGTCAACAAAGTATCTAACTCCAGAACCACTATATACAAAAGATCACAAGATAAAATACATGTGAGAAGGTGAACTAGTTGAAAAGCAAATATGTTCTTTTGTCAAAATGATAGACAGAGTATTAATTTAGGCAGAGTAGACTTTCTTACACAATACACATGATGAAATACATCAAGAAAGAAAATACACTCAATCATGGACTATTCTGTGCAATATAATGAAGAGCAGAACCAAGCAATGTAATCACATCTTCAAGTCAAATACACTACAGCTCTTTGAAATAAAGTGTATGAACAATATGCTCCCAGTGCTCGAGAAACTTAATCAAAGAAGACCTAAAACTTACAAGACGGACAAATGTGTTATATATAAAAAAAAGAAAGAAAATGTAGAACATTTGGTGAGTTGCAAGCGATCTTTAAACCTACTTCATACGTTAGAGGAGCAAGTAGTAGAAGCAACTCTGCATAAATTAAAAAATGTAGAGAGCTTGGAGGAAATTAAAGAAGAAGTTCTAATAATGCTAGGAAAAGGATTCCAAGTTGAT